AATAATATTCAGCATCGGCGGGAGAGGATGATATGACAGAAGTTGAAGCAACTACTGTTGATAGAAAAGATGAGAATGATAAGATACAATTAGAGGTTACCAATCTTATTAACACTAAGAGGAGTAGTGGAAAGATGTCTTCCAACATTACACCAAGTAGTAGTAGTAGTAGTAGTAGTAGTAGTAGTAGTAGTAGTAGTAGTAGTGGTCGTTTTATTAGCATATTACGTATGGAGTTGTTGTTGTTGTTGATATCATTTATGATAGAAGTCAATGTATTAGAAGAGGCAGCTGCAGTTAAGGCAGCCAAGGATGAGGCTGAACTATGGATGAAGATGGAGGATGATGATGATAATGATATGATTATGATTAGTGATCATGATGATGATGATGCGGAGAAGGAGAAGTATAGCAGGTATATGATACTACTAGGAGTGATATAGTTACGTATTATTAGGACCCAACCAATGGTAAAGAGGCAACGTAAGATAGATAGTAACACTGAGATCATGAAGAAAGAAGAAGATGATATACCATCTGATGCATGGCTTATGAAGGGTCTCATTGTTAAAGTAATAGTAGTTGACATATGTTATTCTTACATGTCTGTGGTGGCTGCGGCTACGATAATAGTGATGTAGGTACTCAACAAAGATCTATGTAATGGTAAATATTATAAAAGTAAAGGTGAAATAAGGAAAGTATTATCACCATATGTATGCCATGTTAAAATACTAAAAAGTGGTGATATATTAGAATTGGATCAAACAGATCTACAGACTGTTACACCTGCTAATGGTCGTACTATACAAGTAGTCTTAGGTCAATACAAGTAATACTATATGAGGAATAAGGATTAGTAGATTGTTATTATTGTTATGTTGGTCGTCTCAGATATCAATTTGGTGTATTGAAAAGTGTGGATCCTACTACTGGGTCGTGTACTATAATACTAGTAGGAGATAAGACTGATAAGGAAGTTATATTACGTCCAGATGATATATGTAAAGTATAATAACAAGTTAACTATTGTTGTGTTCTTTAGTAGTAGCAGAGGGAATACTCTAATAATAGTAATCAACTCTTAATATTC